GAGCACAAACTTATTTGCAACAGATGTCACTGATCAACAACATTAGATCTCTAACCGTAGGTTTCTGAAACTAAAACCCATGTTTGAAACATGACAGTATGTTTTATTGAGTTGCCGTTACTGCAACTTAATATCGATATTGAGTTAACTTATATCCTTGTACAGCTCTTACTCAAGTATTTATATCTAAACGTTAGACTACATGATGATGTATTACAAAGGACATGACAAAGGCGAGCAGGTGAGCTCGCGAGGAATGCGAGCCACAGTATACACTCACCGCTTCCTCTAATGAGATGCCGTTTTTCTTCTAAGTGTCATACATCACATGCGGGTACAAATAAAAGCAATTCTTGTAACAAATCATGCGACACAAAAGGGTAAAAATGTATGAGTACGGGTATTAATAAGGCATTTAAGTTATGGCACATTCCGATCTTTGTTTATCTGATGGTAGCAGCCGCTTGTGATGTAGAAGTAAGTGAAGAGTTAAAAGTCAACGATGGACAACGAGACGTTGAGCTTTGTGTTACCAGATTTTCGACAGTAGAAATTGAAAATTTCCATGTGGCAATCTTAATTGAAAGCTCTAAAGCACCCTATACACTAACCTCTACACATGAACAGGCTATAAATAGTGATATTTTATGCATTTGATTTTCGTCATTTTGGCGGTAATTATAGCGTATAGTAACGGTGGTAAGGATTCGAACTAATGAATAGTTTAAGTTGGAACGAAGCAAAAGCTGTTATTTCCAAGCAATAATCTATCCATCCATCGAGATCAGTGACCTGTACCAACTTACTGTCAAAATTAATGTGTTTGTTATTTGATAGTAAACGACTTTGTTTGACAGTTTTGTTCTTATGTGAAATGATTAATGATTAGTTTGATAAAAGAGTCATCCACTAATACATAACATAATATAATATATAAAACACAAAGATTGGTATACATATAATTTGTGGACTATTACATGTGAAAAAAATTCAGTTAAAATTTTAATATATTATCGTAATTATAATAATTTCCCATGTCATAGTTAAATTGCGTCCATTAATAACATGTAACCACATTCAAAAGTCGGAAAGTTTTGCAAGCTGGACTAGAACCTTACGAAATAACAATGCAATGCGTAACTCAATAGTACTTACTACAGACAAGCTCAGTCTAAATTATTAGTAACAGCTTATAACCTTTTTTTAATTGGAAATCTTTCTGGTCTACTACTTTTCTAGACCAAAATAGTATTCTAGAACAACTGACATATATTCTTCTAAACCATATGTTAACTGGACATTATACAACAATCATAATGTAATTGCGCACACCGCTAAACACTTAGAACCTACTATTTGTAGCCTACACTTTTAAAAGCTCTAGCGATATCCTTTGGTCTTTCAAAAGCATTACTGTAGACGAAATGGCTTTTTTACTATGTATGATTAAAGTTTGGGATCTAACTTGGCTAGAACATTCGTTATCTTCGTCGTACAAATGTATAATTGGTTTGGCAACCTTCAAAAGCTAAAAACAGAAAGTCGTTGAAAATACTATTCATAAATCATCACGGCTTTAGTCAATTTTTCTTTATATTTCTTCTAAATTTATCCCGTCCTTTTTTATTAGGAAGCAATGTTACAGTCAGGCAAAATGCAAATTTTATATTGGTCAGTTTAAAACAACCTTCACAAGTAAATGATAAAACTAAAAGCTCTGAAGAGCTTTTAGAAAGTCGTTAGATAAGATATTTGTAAGCTCGTGAACTCGAGTTATTTGAATTCCACTCAAAATTGTGTTAAACAAATACGATGAAAAACACAGAACATTGCAATAACTTATATCTACAGAACTTTAACACAAGTTATTACTTAAAAATAACATTTGAAAAACCAGCAAACGATTGAATTATCACTAAGAACTGATAGGAATGGTCGTCACTGCGTACCTAGCCATCCATCCCACATATATGTCGATCACTGCACTGAAATCACTGAAACTGTGTTTGTGCACTGCACAGGACACAGGACACAGGGCACGGGCACAGGACACTGCAGCGCGGCGAGGTGGGTTGCGAGTGCGCGCGGGCGTCGCAGCGGCGGCGTGGACACTGCCGGCGCCCGCGCCCGCCTCTCCTATAAATTCTTTACAAGACTCGTGCCGTAGCCGGGCCCTGTACAGTCGCGCGCGAATGTCCTTTGACAGCCCTTAAGCCTCTATAGTTATAAGCTGTAGTAAACTTCTGACAGCCGCCCAGAGCGGGGATTATGGATTATCTGTAAAACTCTAGCTTGGTTAGTAACAGGATATTTTTTATCAAGTTTTTTCTCATAGTCTTAAAATACAGTTCAGAAACTTCATGGTTAATATTTATATATTTATTTCATTAAGACCCAATCGCAGCATGTATCGCACGTAATGAACTTAACTTTAAGTTTACATTACAGTTACTTTCATTTTCAAGTATAAAGGATTAAATAAATAAGATAATCCACGTGGGGGGAGCGATGCGACTTGCGGGCGCGACTGCCCCTCACGGCTCGCAGGCGCGCGCGCAGCCTCCGGTCGTCGCTCGAGCAACCAGTCGGACCGCTTACACTCCCCCTGCACGCCTCTGTCCCAAACTTTACACACCCACACCCCAAATACCACCTTCCTTCCTTCCCATAAAGTCTAAAATCAATAGCTCATCTTACACATTTATTAACCGTCATTCTCTACAAGACATGCCATCCAGGGTTCTCTACACATTTCGCCGGCCGTTGCCCAATGTGAACTCTACTGATACGCAACAGAGATGGTTTTGGTCGAAGATGCCACCTCAAGGAATGCACCTGCGGGCTACCGGACACCGCAATGATTGCGACTCAACTACCACAATAATATTTACAGAGTTTCGTTTAATGCGATCACTAGAACACGTGCGTCCATAGTCCACGCTCGTACAACACTTACGATAGATAATCAATAGAACAACACAGCTCATCTTCTATTTACATTGTCGTTGCCTTGCAATATACAGAACAAACGAAATGTAACTCGGTACAATTCATGATATATTTCTGTGTACAATTCTAGTATCTACGTTTCTTTACTTTATCTAGACGGTGTATAGTTTGCCAGTGCAACCATTCAGATGTTACTTTGGTGTAGACAAGCTCGGTGTAAAAGTGAATTCAAACAAGTCGAATTGTCTACCACTGTTCACCTCATTACAGGAATACTGTCTTGAATGCTGCTTGATTTCTATTCCTTAGCAATATTTTATGCATAAAGTTGGAAAATATTTTACTTATACATCATCATCTTAATAAACTGAGTATCCAGAAGTTTCTTATCCGTAAAATTATAATTTAACTTACATATTATAAAGTATAGAACAAGAAAAGGTTTCTGCAATGAAGACGCTTTTTTATCAGAGAAGGGGGAAAACGAGCAGTGGGAACACCGGTGTGTTCATCGACGCCCATGGACATCAGCAATACCAGAAGAACCGCAGATGCATCGCCGGCCTTTGAGATGGTGATACGTTCGCTTCTTGAAGAACCCTAAGTCGTAGCAGTTTGGAAATACCGCCAAAGACAGACCATTCCACAAAGTGGATGTGCGAGGCAGGGAGTTTCGCGCAAACCGCACGGTTGTGGATTGCCAGCCGAAATACCGATAATGCAAGCTTTACTTACTATAAGTGTGTTTATTCAAGTAATAAAATACTACGAGTAAGTAGTATTTTACCACCCGGAAGATGTCGGACGTTTAAACAGTGTTCGTTCTTCCGCAAAATCTTTACATTGACTTATTGCAGTAGCGGCGTTAGGGTAGGGCGAGGCGAGGCGAGGGCGACCGCCCAGGGCGCCAGATATAATGTGGCGACAGGATATGAAGGGACGCCTGAGAGGCTCTCTAAGATATGTTTGGGAAAAAAGTAGCTAGCCGATATATTCTTCCAGGTTATATACGACATCTATGCCAAATTTCAGCGAGACCCATGAAGCTGTTCTAAAGATACCTTCCAACCTCTAACAAACATACATCCATCGATCCAAACATTCGCATTTATAATATTCCCTTTCGCATTTATAACATTTTCCTTTTCGTACTCTTTGGTAGTACTCGTAAGTCTGACGAGTTGGCATTTCACGGATCGTGTCAGCTCAGTTATGCATGAGTCTACCGAGCATCCTTTAATCACACAGGCATCAATGTAAATAATAATTATTAAAGTTATTTTGCGCAGATGGATGCACATTTCAGCATATCCCGTAAACTGGATATTAAAATAACTGATTACCTACCTTATGTGACCCGCATAAAGTTCAAATTATGCAATGCATTTTGCAGAGGATCGTCTCATCTGCAATGTTATTAAATGTGTGGTATTTGAAGAATTTCCTTGTTTGAAAACGAGTTATGGATGTAACCCAATTTAAGCAAAATTCCTGCACACAAATTCCTGTGCTGGCAACATTGGCTTGTTATTTTTTATGTGCCAATCATTCCCGCGTTACTTTCCTTGTTGAATTGAGTTACATTTTTCTTGTGATTTAATTTTTTTATCTTGTTTGGATTTTGATGTTAACAGTTTTTTACCTACAAAAAAATAAAAAGTTTGTTACCTAAAACATTTCTTGTAGCTTACGACTCGCAGGCGGTCGCGACATCAGGCTGGTCAAGGGCCATGCCCTGCAATGTGTATAGCAACCGCGCGGACATCCGAAGTGGAGCCTTAGTGCCCGCGTTGCGACCGCTATGGAAATAAAACAAACGATTCATATTCATCTGCAAGGGTAGTTGACATGTTGATTGATCTTTCCTTGGGTTTCCACTGCCAAAACAGATCTACAAAAATATATTCATGTGTTTGCCTTATTTCGTAATTGTTGTCACGTTAGCAAAGCATCAAAACTTTTAAAAAACTTATTTCGTTGTTAATTTGAGTTGTGTAAACTGTTAAATTATTCAAAATTAAAGGACGTTAGGAAAATAAATAGAGACTAAATAATACAGGATATTGTATTTAAAACAATTTTCTTTTCTTGCCGCCATACAATAAATTACACATAGCTTGAGTGAACGTCACTGATACAAAATATATTATAATCAATCAATAATTGTAATAACTTATATGTACCCTATAGTTTATACATCCGTCGCCTGCTGCATCTATCTATAATACCAAAACAATTGTTTTATCTACTGATAACGCGTCGCTCGCCATTCTGCCCGCCACATCGGTCGCCGGTAACCGGTGCGACTAGCAACACTGATATTTTGACAGATACGAAACGTCATTTCCCGCGCGCTGTCATATTGACAGTTCTTATAAAGATGAAATTTTATAACACTAAAAAATATTGTGATTATTGCATAGAAAATAAAATCAAGTATTTTAGAAGCTGACGACTCGTCAGTTTTTTCAGGTGCATCAAAACATAGAAAAAGAGGGTTTGTGCGCTTTTAGAAATACAATTTTAGTTCTTGATTACCAATAAAAAAACTAATTTGAATTATTTTAAAATAGTGCGAAAAATTATTTTTTTGTTTAATTTTTAAGTAAAAAATATCCACAATTTATTTTTGCCTTATTGTTCATAATTTTTAACGGTTCTGGTTATTACAATTTCTTAATTACATTTTCATAAATTTAACAAATGTTTATACAAGCAAATACAATTCATAATATCAAATCATTAAAAGACATTTTATAATACAAGATACATAATAATTCTCATGTACTACTTTTTTCACTTAACAAATAACGTACAAAATATATAAAAAGCTTTTATGCATTGATATAAATCAAATAATATTAATTTTAAAATTTGGCTATGAGAAATAATATAAATTTCCAAAATAGGATAGTTACTTAACTTGAAAGCAAGTAATAAGTAATGTTGGGCAGGCGGCGACGCTAAGTACTAACTTAATGGCGTTAAACATATGACTAACAGATAATTTATTTCTCTCCTCTCCACGCTTGTGTCCGTCCGTCTCCCACATCTTAACTTCAAGCTTAGCATCCCTGGAAAAATTATTAAGTGATATTACTACTATGCATAGGTATTAGGTAACAACAACCAATATCAACAAAACTTACACCTGTAACCCAAAGGGGTAGGCAGAGACCACAAACCTCCATTTGGCGCGGCTCAGATACAACTCTCTCTCTTCTACTACATTCACACATCTACATATACATGCATGTCAGTTGAGAGTGCTCTTAATAAAGTCTTTCTTGAGAATTTCATTTATTAGGTAACTACAACATTCATCACTGTATGATGTCCCACATCACCCTCGGCATTGGGAGAGATTTCAGCACAACATTCAATTACAAGTAACTGAGTTTTTCTTGCTACCGCATTATTGATATTAAAATTGCTGTCACCTTAATTGTTACCTACACCTCTAATTCTTTTTGCCAGTAGCAAAGTTTAAAAACAATTTAATCATTTGTTGGGCTCTATAGAGATAAAGTAATATCACCTGCAAGGTTATTTCCTGGCTTGTAATGCATCAGATAGCCAGTCCATCGCTTGGTCCAGGCCTTCGCCGCGCACTGCTGAAGTCTTGAAGATCTGGAAGGTTCTGTCACGGAGGGCATCCAGCCCCAGCGCCTGGTGCACCTCTGCCACTGTAAGGCAGCCCGCCATATCCTGTTTGTTGGCTAACACTACCAGTATAGCATTTGCTAACTCTTCCTCCTGCAAAATGGACATTAATAACTTTGTAGAATCAGAATTTATTTGTTAGATTGAAGAACAATATAAGTTTAACTACAGTATCCTGCAAAAATATTTATGTTTATAACATCTAGTACCCTTAGTGTTCTTGGATAAAGAAGCTTCATGTAGTTACTCTTACAGAAACTAAATGAAAACATTTAAAAACTTTCAACTTGTTTGGTGCTCATGTCTTAATGTTTGTAAGAAATTGAATATTCACCACAATTAATCTGTTTGATTTCAGTCCAAAACATGATGCATGCAACTGAGGTGCAATATTCACAGCTTAAACAGCTAAATTATGTTAAGAGCAGGACTCTTTTCTAACAACCATTATTGATAAGTACAAACAACGAAAGTTAATAGTAATATGTTATTTAACTTTATCTGTGTACATTAAAGTTGTTATTTAAGAAATGACATTAAAGTGACTAATTTACTTTTCATGTTACTTATAATTACAATGTCAAATATGTTAGACATTCATGACTCATATTTGATAGCAAGCTGTATTTACCAAAATAATTATGTACTGGCATAAAAATGTTAAGATAAGTATTCCTAATTGTAAAAAAACACAGCTCATTTGTCTATGTCAATATTTTGTAGATGTAAATATTAAATGGAGGTTGTAACATACTTAAATTTAATAATAACTTACGTAAAAATAAAAAATAAACTTACTCTTAACATATGCACCAATTCATCCTTGGATATTCCTATTCGATCTCTGTCTGCAGAGTCGACTACGTAAATTATTGCATCTGTGTTGCCATAGTAACATCGCCAGTACGGCCTGCAAATATTAGAAAAGCCTGTATAAGCAAGAAAATTTTTGAAGTCTCATGGAGTGTTGCTTATCCAGGTTAGAACTTTATAACTGATGCTACTTTTGCAAAAATAAATATTGTGTACATAATCATCCTTTCATCACCAAGAATTTAAAGTAATAAAAGTAAAAAAATCTATGATAAAGGCAAAACCACACTGAAAAACCATGTATTGCTACATACAATACTATAATTGTGTAACAAAATTTGAACTTTGTAAATTATGAAATAAACATATTTACTTACTACAAAGTTTATCTGAAGATAGTCCTAACCTTAAGCAACTAAACTCACCTAATACTTGTTTGTCCACCAAGATCCCAAACCTGGAACTTGAGGTTTTTGTATGTTACTTGTTCTACGTTGAACCCGATGGTCGGTATAGTAGTTACCACCTCTCCAACTTGTAATTTGTATAATATTGTGGTTTTTCCGGCGCCGTCCAATCCGAGGATCAAAATTCTCATTTCACGCGCCCCTAACAGACCCCGAAAGTAACTAAACAGACCACCTGCGAACCGAAAATAATTAAAGGAAAACTTATTGAGTTTAAGTAACCAAAATATGGGAAACAAAAGATATACTTACCCATTTTATATGATAAAGCTTAGCCTAGCAAATCATGAGTTATTATACACGGAATGATTGCGAATTTTCACACAGACATCCAGCCGTAGTTACTTAATTATTTTTCGACACAATTCTTTTTGTTTCTTACTAACTAAAACCGTAAATGTTGTTAATTGAGAATTGAAAAATGTCTTCAATTTCAACTCTACCTTTTGACGTGTAAGCAAGCTTATGCAATGTTGCCTCATCGTTAATTAATTTTTGCAGTGGAATTTTTGGCTTTTGAAAATATAGTTTGCAGGGTTTTAAGGAAGTTATTTTATTTTAAATTGATGATTTTATCCTTCTAAAAAATTAAAAATTTCAAAAAAATAACATTTTAAATTACGCCAAGTCTTTACACTGCCATCTATGTTTTTGAAAAAGAATCTAGTAGAATTATATGTTACTCAAAGTTTATTACATTCCGTCCAGTTCCGCTAGGGCGGCGTTGTTAGGCAATTTGTTGCAAAATTTAAAATTTGTGCAAAACGGTACTTATTTACAATTGGTACTTCGATGGTTCATTCGTTCCTCATTTTTGTGTTCAGCCGTTAAGTTTAATTTTAAGCTATATTTCCTATTATATGTATTGCAATTCGCAATAATTTACTGTGTTATAACATAATATTATTAATATGTCTTCTTACACAATCAATCCTCTATTAAAGTAAAAATTATTCAAAGGTTGAAGACGTAATTGAAACGATCGCGTAATAGTGACGCAGCGTGACGAGACGCGCACGCGCCGTTACGTCACAGCCGCGCCCGCGACGACCGCGCTCCTTTGTCAACTGTCTCATAGTCAACATTCTTATTTATTTTTTGACTATTATATTTATTTGACTACCTAATATTAATTTATTTAACTGCCAGCTACCAGACTCCAGAGAGTTTAGTTATATTTGACGATGATGACTTTTTCTGGGTTTTACAAAAAATAATTTTGAGCTTTTTCATTAACGAAATAGATCTGTTAGTGTTCAATCCTGTTGATTACGTAATAAGTATGTTACATAATTTAGTAGTCATCTTACTCAACAAATAAAGTTAGTTTGAATATTTTAATAACTAGAGAATTTTCCTCAATAATCACCTTGGTCAGGAAATATCGAGTGGCTGGGCTCCGCCATTGATAAATTCTGTGAAATAAAATATCACAGTACCGTGCGAAATAACTTTACGTCAGCCCTAAACAAATATTACAAATCGGAACAAACAGGCATTGTGCAAAGAAAATCTATCTGAATGAGGAGTAGGATATACAACTGTTAATGATTCAGTTTAGACCTGGAAAGCAAAAAACATATTTTAGAGGTGACTAAAAGCCTCGAGATATCTATGGCGAACAATCCAACTATATTAGTGCCGACGTAGACGATGGATTGGTGGTATTACACGATTCAAACTTTATGGTGTCCCACTGTTGTGCGTTACCTATCGCCATAAAGTGTGGATGGTAGTATACCATTCGTGCATTCCATTGTGCAACGTATAAGATTGCTCTACCCTTGCAATATTGCGGAAGTTTGTGGGCAGTTAGTATCAAGAAAACAGATTGCTAACACTGAATAGTTTGCTATTAAAACTGTTCGGAGATTATAATGTAGTTAAATAATAAGCTTGCGTCAGTATCTCCAGACTTTAAATGTAGGTGTGCAAATATACGCAGGTTAGAATAAAAACAAGAGGAACTTCTAGAAAGAGCAGTATTAATATATTTTTGCTTTAGTCATTATATCTTTATAATATGTGTTAACTGTGGTACATCCATTGAAACATATTTCCGCGTAAATGAAAAATATAAAGGGATAAAGTTAAGAAGGGAGAGCAGCAATTAGAAGTATATATGAAAAGTAAACGGTAAGTAGACTGTACGGTTTATTCTGAAACAATAATATATTAAAATAACAATATTTTGATTTGATATAAGCCGAAAACTTTGCGCTATTCTCGATCATGCTATAAACAACTTATTTTTTCTTTTGGATAGATTGTGCCAAATAAACAGAATTAAACAATAATTATCTTTAAAAACAGATGTTGGATTCCAGCGCGGTGAGTCGTGATATGTTTTTCTCGTGCTGCGTTGTTATAAAATTAAAAAAACAGCTCGCTATTAATACACACAGTTTGAAAATAATCTACTCTATTTACGGAGACTTTGGCGTCTTTGATCTGGACACGACCGTACGTGCAACGGGAGACCATCAATTTTTGGGGAAAAAATAAAATTTGAACTTTATTTTTCTTCACTCAATCAAAAAAAATGTTAGAGATATACACTTAAACCCCATAGAATAAGCTAATTATTAATACCTTTAGCAAAAAAAAAATTAAAACCTGTCTCAAGATTAGCTTAGCAAGGCAATTCCCTTCGTGTCTCTTGCTGCGACCACGCGTTGACGACAAAAAACCTTTATAATATTTAATGTACGCATAAGTCTGTTGTAGGATAGTCATCCTATGTATTAAAACAATAAATCACAGTAACTCGTCATTTTTCGGTTACTCTCATTAGATCGTTTGAAATATATTTTCCTCAGGAATCCGTAACTACGGATACGCGCAGATGAGTGAATCAACCTCATAATTATAAATCAGGTCGGCTTTGAAGCTTTTAACATCGTTATATGTAGGTTAACTCATGGGCTCGTGCTTGTTGAAGTAATGGAAATTGCTGATGAAAATATAGAAAATGGGCGAATGGCCACAAAACTATCGGGTTGTAAAAAAATAAAAATATAAGTTAGGTTATGTTTCCATAAACTACAAGATTTTGGATCAAAAAAAACTCGTTATAAATAAAATATTTACTGTTGTTTTTCAATGTTGATCGAACTTTCATTTTCCTTTCTTCTACTGAAGTCTTGATTGAGATTCATTTACAAAATGCGTGAACCCTCATTGGCAAGAATATCTTTTTAATGTGTAATTCTTTCATTGATCTATAACAGTCCTTGATGTTTTAAATAACCTAATTTCTAAATTATCTTTTGTAAAGTTTCTAGTTTTCGAATCTCTCAGTTACGATAGCAAAAAAATTTAATGATTCATCGGCCCTTACTGGTGATTCTAAAATACTTTGTGTTATTTTATGAAGATAATATTTAAATAATAAATATATTTAAGTAAGAGGATATCCTCATTGATGAGATGTGGCATGAAACATGTTGATATACCGCATATTTATGATGGCAGTTAGAGTTCGGGGGCTGGAAACATCTCCTGCTTGTACAGATCTGAATAAACATGTTGGTATGCGCTCAAAATATTTACAAATTACTTGATTTATGTTTATTATCTTTTAATTTATGATATTGAATCTGTTATACGTTTTTATACATTTAAATTTGTATTATTTGTTAGCTTTGATGGAATGCGGTAGATCGCAGTGAATATATCATTTCTTTTATTAGTAGAATGAAATAAATATTTCCTATGAGTTCAAATATAACATTTACTAATAAATTTTAAACTATATAAATATAGCACGTTTAGTAATAGATTTTTTTTAAATAAATCAGGCAAAAGCTTCTAGTCACTCATGCTTCGCGTAATTTTCGAAAAACTACAAAGTTTCATAGGAATTACACAATTGTTAATACTTTAATACCTATTACAAAACATTGTAATCACAAATTAGAGTTGTAAGGCGTGTCACAGTGACATTGCATTCCATGGATAAAGGAATTAGGTTAGGAGGGCAATATTTTGCGACTGATTCAACTTTTGTACGGGTTTTCGGAATACATAGCGGTTGGCAGTACCAACTAGGCATATTGACGGAATGACGTATCCAGCTTTTCCTGTGAACTCCTCGATTCTAATCGTGCCTTTATTGAAAAACTAAATTGGATTAGTTTGTTCAAGGCTATATGCCGGAAGGGGCAATGTAGTATTGTGTATCTACATATAAGCATGAAAGTACGACAACGTGTTAAATATGCCTCGATAGCAACAAAATTGTGTCATGTGCTTGGTGCAATTTGCTATTGACCCCGGGTGACCCGGTAACCGGGCGGGGTCAGCGCCGGCCCGCCGCGTGCCACTGACCTCCGACAAGGACACATTGCTGTCCTCGGCCGATCAATTCCCGCTTTATAACCTTGCTTTATCGCTTAAGGTCGTCATAACTTCCTACTACGACAAATTACATGACCATGAGATGTTTTCTTGTATTCTACGATGTCGTAATGCACAGATAAATATTTTATTAGAAAATTATTTCCTAAAATTACAACAAAGTTTTGGGAGAGGTTACGTCAGCGACATTACTTTTTACCCGACTGGCAAAGAAGGTAAAAATGGGTGTAATGTTTTTTTACGCGTATGTTAGTTCTTATGATTGGATTGATGTATGGAGCAATATAGAGTCGGCTCTGGAACGATTGACATCTCAGATTACTAAATATTGATTATTTTTCTTGTTAAACACTAAATAATATTCAACATGTTCTGGTAGGTCATATACACGATTGTGGTGACCATGTTTTATAAACGATGATTTGTATTAAATCTTACGTATGTATAATAAAGTAGGTCGGCTACAAAAGTATTTATTGATAAAAATAACATAGAAGTAAATGTTTAAATTTATGGTAAATATAGTCTCAAGATATAATGCAGATATTGTTTCCCTGGAACTGTTAATTTAGTCATATTTTCTGCACAATGGTATCACATCAAGATAATAGTGTACGTGCACATTTACAGTGGCCGCGGCGCTTGAGCATCGCGTCAGTGCGCGGGTGAATCAGTTTTTCCTTGTCTTATCTAGAATCTGTGGAGCGGCCAAAACCCCTTGTGGCGGAGGTGATCAAAGAACAACTTGATGGTGTAATAATATGTGTACAGGCTACACTTACGGTCCTATTCCATTAATAAAGACTCGGCGACTAATTTATTTGTAAATTGGAAGTGCACATTTTGTATATTATAGAAAACAGAAAACAAAGGAATACCCTGATGTTGAGTTACCGATATATATTATATTATATCTACAAAACGGAATGTAACATATTATCATACGAATCATTATGTATTCTGTCTGCTGGCATAGTAACAGTTTTGAGATAACATAAACATGTTGAGGATTCGTTCATTAAAATAGCGATAATATTGGCATTCCAACTAAATGGTCACAAGTCAAATTTTATGTCACAAGCAACGAAATACCTAAT